TGTGACATAGCCATTACGCTAACTGCTGGTCCCTCTGCTTGACTCTTAACACTGTTGGAAACAGACTATGAATGCCATGAACCAGTATAATAAAACACAATGAGGAAGTAAGGAAAATAACAGGGGCTAGACAAGATCAATTAAGGACAGTAACAGGGGCCAAACAAGACCCTATCTGTATACACATCATTTTAAGAAAATAGAAGCATCGAAAGACCTTTCAAAGTCATTATTTCTTTTTTTTAAAGAATTATTTTATTTATTTATTTATTTATTTATCTATTTATTTTAACTTGACCAGAGAGATAAACATAGAGAGAAAGTGAGAAAGCAAGTTACCAGGTCCAGGACTTGAACTGTGGTTGGCCATGTGGGAGTGTCCCAGCGCCTTAACCACCATGCAACCTGCTGGTCCCTCAAAGTCATTATTTCTAAACCACTGGAAATAGTGGCTCCATGAAGAAGAGATTCTCACAGTAGGATATGCATGAATTGTTAGGGCAGTGGGATCATTCATTATCTCTCACAGCATTTCGAATTTGAAATTTTCTCTCAAGTTTAATTCATATTAAACATTATAAGTGTCTTATAACTAATGAGATATTAGATGGTATTAAGGGATTATTGATACTTCTTGGACAACAGTATGGTTATATTTTTAAATGAAAGTTCTTTTTTGGAGAAACTTTGAAATATCTGTAGATAGCAGTGATATGCTTTGGGAGATTCCTTTCACATTCCAGTGTGGGGAGAAATGGAGGAGAGTAAGAGGGGATATAGTAAGGAAGGATGTCTGAGGAGCTGAGGAGACAAGTGGAAAGCCTCAAAGCCAGGAGATTGCCAGGTGTGTAGAGAGTTTCGAGGCCGGTGTATTTACACTGGCATAAGCATGGGAAAGGTACTGAGAAGTCAGGGAGAAGGCAGCAGCTTTTAGGACGAGTGACATGAGAAGCTACTAGAGGCAGAGGTGGTTATGATATGTGGATGAAAAGATTTTTGGTATAAAGCTCCAGGAACTCAGAAGTCAAGTTGTTAGAGGAATTAGTTATATGGTTAATAAAGTCACATCACCAAGAATGAGACAGGAGAGCTGGAGACTGCCGGTAAAACAGGAGCTAAAAGCCTTAGGTAATGAAATGAATAACTTAGAGAACCGTTTAAAAACACAAATGGGAGAGGAAGTGGGCGATCTGATGACAGGTTCATAAAATCAGAGGGGGAAAGGTCTGGAGGCAGCAATGAAGAGAAACTACCTCTTTTCCTGGTTGAACAGGACAAGAGATGGGGAGGGGGGGCAGGGAGTCACCACTGATGGAGGTTCCTGGGAGGCAAGTGTGCTCACAGAGGAGAGTTAGTTGCATGTCAACTACAAATCTCAGTGCTCGGAAGGAAATGTGCTAGACAGTAAGGGGTGCTGAGGCATACCAAGCCTGGACAATCCAAATGCTTCTGCAAGGAAGGAATACTTTTACTGAGATGTAAAGGAAGAGCAGGAAATAACCAGGTGAATAGGAAAGGGAGACAACTGTAGGTGGGAGGTGGGGGGGAAAGGAGGTACAAAGGTTTGATAATGCGAGTGGTGGGCCACTACTGAGGTTGCACAAAGGCCAGTGAGGCTGGACCAGTGATGGGGAATCTGGGAGGAAAATAAGCCCAGGCAGGAAATCAGTAGACTATGCTCATCCTTACAGTCCAGGGCTAGAGTTTTGCTCCTTACTCCAAGAATGCTAGAACATTCTGAAACAGTTATGTAATATCAAGCTTTCGGACAGTATGCATTCAGGTGTAAAAAACTGACACTTGGTAAAGGAAAATAGTTACAACATGTGAAGTAAATATTAAGATTAGAAAAATATCAATTTTGGCTAGAAGAAAGCCTTAACAAGTTATAAGTTCTGGCTTCAAGTCCCTAATTTGTGTTCTCTTGGGGTCAGAATCAAGTGATTTTACGGTGCTATAAATAACAGTTTTACTGGATCAAATAACTTCCACACAGCTATAGTTATATGGTTAATAAAGTCACGTCACCAAGAATCAGACAGGAGAGCTGGAGAGTGCCAGTAAAACGGGAGCTAAAAGCTTTGAGAAATGAGAGGAATAACTTAGAAAACCATTTATAAACACGACCAATCCAGAGGTGTGTCTTTAAACACTTGAAATGAAAGACTGCATGCACAGCTTGCGCTGCTGCTGTGGCCACTGCCCAGGGTCTCACCCTGGCTCTGAAGCGGGACACATGCACGTGACCCACACAACCACACTCACCACAGACTAATATAAAGGAAACCAAGACCCATGTTAGTTCTTTGTGGGAAGAAAAAAAGATTATAACCAGCAGAGAATAAGAGTTTTACCCTCAGGTAGAATGTTTTATCCTTACAGCAACTGAAAGAAAAAGCAAATTATAATGTACAAGTTGCTTAATGTTAATGGCATCTATCTAGTACACTGCTCTTTCAAGAGGAGTGATCCATTTCCCTCAGAAGCTTCTTCACTCTTGATGGCAGGAATCACCTTATCATTACACACTCCTGCACAATGTTCAGAACACAGATTGTGACTCGACCAGGGACCAGTTTATGCCCTGAGGCAGAAAACCCTCTCTCTTGTGTCTAGTGGACACTGTCCAAGTTTGCTTTTTAACTATGCTTGTTTGCTTCTTTTACTAACAAAATCCACTTCTGAATGATACCTTCTCTTAAAAAATTGGGACCAGCAGATGGCGTAACTGCTATAGTTCGACTCCTGGACCTGGCGGCTTCAAAATCACTTTGGGCTCATGTGCGTGCGTGCCCAAGATCCCAGGAGGGGAGTGGAGGAGAAGGGACTGTGGCATGGCCATCCCCCCTAGGGGGTGATTTCTCACTTTCCCTCTCACTGTGTCTGTCTCTCTCTTCAGTGAGCACACATGTCCTAAGGCAAAAAAAAAAAAAATCTCTTGAAAGAAAGAAACAAAGATAAATACATTTAGTCAGAAACACATGTAAATGTTTCTGGTTCGGGACCTATTCTTTCCCCTAAGCATATTTCTACTCTGATTTATTTTCTTCAACAAAAAACTGGTTTAATGCTAATTAAGTTTCAAATCTTTGTCAACAACTCCAGTAATATTTCATACTATAGTATACTTTTCAAGCACTGACAGAGGAAAAGATTCTAAAAAAGTATTATTCATGTACAAATTGTACCACTGTTGCATGGTTTGGGAATTTCTGAAAAAAAAAAAATGCACTAAATTTTTCAGTAAGACAGCTCCTTGATGTACGTACTAAGAACAGAGAAATGACTATATCAAATCTCTCACTCACTTATTAAACACACTTTTTTATTTATTGTTGAAAGTCGGAGGATACCAGGAAAAAAAAGTGTTTTCTGTCCTCACAACTCCCAATCCCAGAAGTAGCCCCATAGGACACAAATATCAACACAGGTGCTATTATGGCGTTTTGACATTGGAACAAAGGAAAACACAATTGTGTTGACAGAAGCTCCAAGAATTAAAGAAAGGTGTGAAAAGTAGTGATGCCAGGCTTTAATGAGCAAAAAGGACAAGGCAAAAGGCATTCTAATGGCAAAGGAGCCTGAGGCATTGCTCAGAGGCATGGGAGCCAAAGGTGTTTTCAGGAGATCAGGAATAACTGGGGATGGCTGGAGTTCATTATGCCAGACAGGAGAATTCCAACAGATTACACAGAACTTTAATGATCACATGAAGGAACTCAGGTTCAGTTTTCTGGGAAGACCAAAGTCACAATTTTCCCTTACAGGAGAGACAAAGACATTCTATCAGTTTACAAAATCGTGCTTAACACGGATCCGCAAATAGTGCAAACAGAGGTAGTACATAAAAAGTACTCTGGGTTCTTCATGGCTATGGCAGTATAGTAACTACACCATATATGGATACACACTTACTGTAGGCTATACATGGTATGTACTCTGTGTTTTACATATATATAGATACTATATGTTATATAAAGTAAGCATAGATACTTACTAGATGTTATATAGAGTACTGTATAGGTACCGACTAGATGTATATGTATATATATTTTTAAATAATTATTTTATTTAACTTTATTTATTTATTTATTTAAATTTGACCAGAGAGGAACAGAGTGAGCAAGAGAGAGAAAGAGAGAGGGGGAGAGAGAAGGAAAGTGAGAAAGCAAGACCTCAGGTTCGGGACTTGAACCGTGGTTGGCCATGTGGGAATCCAGCACCCTTAACCACCACACCACCTGCCGGCCCCTGATGTATGTGTATATTAAGAAAACACTTAGGAAAGTAATTCTGCATTTGTAAATATGTGACTAGAAATAGTTCTGGAGAAGATCAGAACACGTATCAGAGAGGATCAGGAATGAGTTCTTTAGCATTAAGGCACTAAATCTTTTGTTTTTTTACTAATGTTATTAACAAATTATGATACAATACAAACAAATCTACAGATGTGTTAAAATCTTCCCAATGGAATGACATTAATACATTGCCAGAATATTTAATTAAATCACTTTAAATCAATTTACCATTAAATAGGATAATATTCAAAATACCTGAATTATTCATCACCTAATTTGAGTAAATATAAATTATCTCAAAGTTATATAATCTGATAATGCAAAAAACACAGATTTTCAGTTATATCTGGTTATCAAAAAAAGTCATTTTTCTATACAAAAAATGCATCATGACTTTTCCGATGACCCAATAATAACATATAATAAAGTGAAATAATATGAAAATCAACCCAAACCTCAGAAACCAACACTATTACCATTATTTTCCTTAAATATTTATAGTGTAGTAACAAAATTCATAATTAAAAGTCTTGACTGACCCCTTGTGGTCAAATTTGAAACTAAAACTTAGCAATATTTACCATCATCTTCTGAATCGTCTTCCGTAATCCACCAAGGCACTGTATCTTTCTTTCTCATTTCTTTTTTAGGTTGCCGAGGTGTTTTATTTGAATTTTCAAAAGAATCATCTGAAAGCTGAGTCATATACAAGTTAATGAATTTTAAAATACATTGGGGAGGTGCAGAGTTCCAGATTCATGACTAATAACATTTACATGCATTCTCTCACAGTCCCATTATCTCACAGATGAATAACATTCTCAAAAATAATGTACAAACACACAGGCCAGTGGTGGTGGCACAGTATTGACATGCAGTGCTGGAAGCCACATGGTCAGCTGTGGGTTTGGATTCTGAATCAACCTGAAACACAATGGGTGCACACACGCCTGAAATCCTGATGGTCTGGAGGTCGAGGGAAAGGGACTCCTGGTGAGATGGACACTGGCATGCATTCTTGTTTGTCTCTCTCATGTGCACACACACACATACCCTCTCTCATGAAAAAAATACATAAAGTCAAAAATATATACAAATTCATCTCTAAATATATGACTAAAATAACTTAAAAATGAAGCATATATCTCTAAACATCGATTTCACATCTGGAACTAAACAAGTAAAGAACAACAAAGAAATAAAGAGAATTTCATAAAGAAACTTGCTCAGCACAGAAAAAAAAAAAAAGAGATGCAATATAAACATTTTCTAGGATTTAAGAATGTCATTGAACAAAAATACGTAGTACCACTCTAGAGGAATATGGAATCCCAAGACAGGGAAAAACTGAGTTTCAGGAGTGGAGATGATGATGATCCTGACCAGAGAAATCAGCATTTAGTCACATTTATTAGTAAACTTTAATAAACTTGTCTTTGTCCTATTCTTTTCTCATCTTTTGCTATAATCCTAAATCCACTACTCCTACCCCCAAACCAGTAACTTGACATTTTCCTTCACTCAAAAAAGACCGTCTGAAACCACCCTCCAACCTTACCTGTTCAGATACTTCTTTCCTCCCCTAGCTGAAAAAACTCTTCCCTCCTCTCCAAGGAGAACCTGCAGAGGGGTTACCTCCTCCCCCTCCAGGTTCTTCCTTCCTTCATTATCCCTTTGGATTTCTCTATCTTTACTCCTCTATGCTTCACTATCACCTTGAAACGTTCTGGTTCTCTCTCCTCTCCACATTTTTTTAGCTTATTTACTTGTATCATAAGCACAGACCTTGCAGGGCTATGGCAAAGATCAGAAAATGAAATGAGTAATACCCAAGAAATGTCTAAGACACGGTAGGTGTTCTCACTCCCAACAACCTTCCTCACTGCTTTCCAAATTATAGTCACAAAGAACGAAACAAAACCATTGGTCCTCAATGAATGTTTGAAAGGATATACAGAAACTGGAACCCTAATAAACAAATACAAATGCTGGTGGGGTGGTAGGGTTGGCCCCATAACACAGCAGTTAAGTGCTGGGCAAGAGAGAACAGATCCCACATGACCAACTGCAGGTCAAATCATGGCCCTAGTGGCTTAAAAACATGCCAGGCAGGTGTGTGCATGTCCAGGATCCTGAGGGGTTGGAGAAATGGAGCAAAAATAAAAAAGGATTAAGGCATGACTAGGCCACGTTGAGAGTTGCTTTCTCTGTCTTTCTCTTTCTCTCTGGCGTGTGCACATTCTTGCATTAAACATACATATGTACACACAAAAATGCTGGTAGGAGTGGAAGATGGCACAGTCACTTTAGAATCTGGTTCTTTCTCAGAGTTATCCTAGGACCTAGCAATTACATAGGCAGATACACAAGAGAAGTGAAAATACCCATCCACACAAAAACTTGTACATGATTTTTCGTAGCAGCATTATTTTTAATTGCCAAAAAGTGGAAAGATTTCAAATGTCCATCAACATAGATGGATAAACAAAATATGGTTTATCCATATGACAGAGTATTGTTCAGCTATTAAAAGGAGTACTGACACATGCTATGACATGTATGTACCTTGAAAACACTAAGCTAAGGAAAAGTAGACTCGAAAGGCCACATGCATAAATTCATTTCTGTGAAATGTAATAGGCAAACATTTAAAGACAGAAAGTAGATTAGTGGTTGCCTCAGGCTGTAGAAATCAGGAAGAAGAGACGGGGTGACTATTAATAGATACGGGGTTTCTTTTTAGGGTGATAAGTGTTCCACAATTGATTGAGGTGATAGTTGCAGAACTCTAAAACCATCGACTTGTTTACTTTAAATGAATGAAATGGATTGTATATAAATTACTTATCAAGAAAGGAGAAAAACAAACAATGAAAGCTGATCCCACCACCTCCACTCTCCTAGTGGGCATGTGAACTATATCTTTAAAGAGTAATTTATCAAAATGAACAAAGAAGTGAACAAGACTCTAAAATCATGGTTTTCATTGTTTAAGATAAAACACTGCCTTACCCAAATCTGTGACACGAGATAACAGTTTTTATGAGCTGAGGTTGAATATGACGGGGTGGGGGGGGGATACCAGGACAGAAGGTAGAGAGAAGGGTGTGCTGGAGAACGTGAGTGGGTGTTGTAGGAATGGTAAAGGAGGAAGAAAAATTCCAAAAGACCTGTACTGCTACTTATGCTTTACAATGAATATACTTTCTATAAATTAGATTTTCAAAATGCACCTGCTATGGATTAAACGTGTTCCCCCAAAATTCATGTGTTAAAATTTGGTGATATTGTTAATCCAATTGTGGGGTGAAGAGGTGGGGCCTTTGGAAGGAGATTAGGGTTGGATAAGGTCGGCAGAGGGGGATCCCATGACTGAATCCCGATGGGTTTATAACAAAAGTAAATGAGACAGAGACACAGACATGGAGACAAGCTCATTTGTCCTCTTGTCATTTGATGCCCTGTGCCACCTTGGGACTCTGCAGAGAGCTTCCACCAACAAGAACACCCTCCCCAGATGCAGCCCTTTGACCTTAGACCTTTAAACCATGAATTAAATAAACCTCTATTCTCTACAAATTACTCAACATGGTAGTCAATGAATAGAGAAAGAACAGACTAAGACAATGTATTTGAAATAAAAATATTAGTGCTTCAAACAGGAACTGAGATTCATTCTGAGTGACTATGACATCTTGACAATTGCTATATGCATTAGCAAACCCTTTGAACAATCCTACAAAGTAGGCATTATTTTTACGGTTAAAGGTGCTTATTTTTAATAGTTTTTTTTCCATGTATTATTTCTCCAGAGAGAGAGAGAGAGAGAAAGAGATGGAGAAAGGCACCCCAACAGGGTCTTCATGTCACAATCCACCCCCAGCCCCAGCTGGCCAGGTTCATGGCATGGGCATGAATGTGTGCATGTCTTACATAGTAGTGGTAGTGGTAAGATCCCGGGATGTGAACTCAGGATCTTTCTCATGTAGGTCTGGTTGTATTATTACTGTTCCAACTGTCTGGCCCCCAAACTAAGGTTCTTCCTACTATATCAAACTTTGTTGATGAACAAAAATAGTTTAAGAGGTGACTCTTAAAAACAAGTGGATGAGGAAGAAGAGTGGTATAAAGTCAGTGAGACAGATGAGCAAAATCATGAACGGCTTTCTAAGCCATGGTCAGGAATTTGGGTTTTATTCTACATGTGATAGAACAACAGGGGAGGAACAGTGCTTTATACTGATTCATGTAACATTATTCTGGCATGGTATGGTGAAAGCAATGCTGGGATCAGATGGAAACTGCTGCAGTTTCCCCAGCGAGATGAAGGTGTTACAGGTGGCAGCGAAATGCAGAGAGAACTAGAGGGAAGACATTGTGGAGTGGAGCTGAGAGTTCGGCCGGCGATGGACTGACATCTTGAGAGACAACTGAAGGATAAGTCATATGTGACGAATTTACAATACAGCTCTTGAAAAATGTAAATTTACCTCTTTCATAAACTGTTCAAATTCTTCATCCAGCTCTTCTTTGGAATAGCGAGCCATAATCAATAATTTTCACTTCCCAGAGTAAACATTCGAAAGCATTTACAACATTAAAAGCTCTGAATGACAGGAGACATAAACATGTTTTGAGGAAATCCATCACATGGTGAAGATTGGACCTAAAACTTCACACATCTCTGTTATGATTTAGTACACTGTATCTACACAGTTAGACACTAGCAACCTGGGCAGGAGATTCATGGTTCATTAAGCCACATTTGGAAAAGCTGCTTTGACAAGTCTGTCTTGTACTGAGGGCCCAGAATTACAAATTCATCTGTTAACATCCAATTTAAAGGGTGATTGCTACATAACAGTTCCTAAACCTGTTAAGTACTTGCGTGTGTAGTACCTCTCAAACACAAACCACATCCCCACAGAGAATCTTAAAAATTAAAAACTAGCAAATCAAAACACTGTTTCTACCTAGCAAAGCGTAACAAGTTTGTTCCACCTTACCACTCAGCTAGGTATTTTACTAATCCATATAGACGGTTTTGCAATACACTCTGCTCCCAGAGAAGGGGATGTTTACAGATATAGACAAACAGCAATGGAATTTATTAAGAAGATTCAAGAATACTAAAAATAAATTTTACTGAATATGCGAATCAGCATGAATTACGTTTCTACTGAAGCGACGAAATGCATTTTAACACCTGAAGTGGAACTCCGTGAAGTGCAACGCACAGCCTCTCCTACACCCACCGGCGAGCCCAACCTTCCTCAACTGCTAGATTTTAATTCCCAGAAGCAGTTCAGGCCCAGCTTACCCTTGCACAGGTCGGGGGTTGGAATCCCTAACGATACCGTTCCCAACCTGCGGAATAACATCTCCTACCCTCACCAGCACTGCGGAAGAATTCCAGGGCTGTGCACTCAAGATCTTGGCCCCAAACCCCGGGTCAAAAACCGAGGGGCCCCTCGCCCGCCGCGTCCCGGCTCCAGGAAGCGCGGGCTCGGGGTGGCGGGAAGACAAAGACGTGCCCGCAGCGCCGTGGGGCGGAAGAGGGCAACTGCCCAGGAAAACTACCCCCCGAGGACCGGATCGAAGGCACAAGCCTCGGCCACAGGGACTTGCTGGGAGACAAGCATCGCCGCCTTACTTACCTCGGCGTCTGAATTCCGCGCTTTCCCCAAATGTCTGTGCGGGCCCTGCAGTTGCCGGGGTAACAGACACCCGTCGCCGGGCTCGGAGTCACATGACCGGGGCTGATCACGTGGCTCGTGGGGGCAGCAGGGCAGTCGTTCGCTTCCCAGTGCGTTAACGGGTTGGGTGAGCGCTGTGGGGTACTCTGGTGGGCAGGAAGCCCCCCTGCCGATCCAAAACTGCTCCCCGCTTTGTCTGCGCTCGTTGGACACGTGGGTGGAAGGCAGCTAACCGGTTACTGGGGAGCCTGTGGGAGGCGAATGGGGACGGCAGTTCTGCTCGGGGCTTCCTGGGAAGTGTAGTTTTACTCCCCTAGTCCGCGCGTTTCCGCATTTCAGCCCCTTCCTCTTTCCTTCCCAGGTCTTCCCACCCTGGTCTTTGCAGTGGTCTGTCTTTCAAGAGGAAGTTTTGGAGAAACGGAACTGGTTGCATTTTCTTCATGTGCAAAGCCTTGTGTGGGCGCAGTGAGAGTAACAAGTGTGTAAGAAAGAACTGTGTTGGAATAGTACTCTTCACCCACCTAGTGGACTAGAAATAGAAAATACAGACACACCAACCTAGAGTGATTTTACTGCTCAGCTGAGAGCATTTCTGTGGTTTCCCTTTGCCGGTCCTCTCAAAACTCATTCTATATCATTCTATAGCGGCACCTTACACTTACGTTCTTAGATCGTATTCTTGATCGTTTTTCTATTAAAAAAAAAAACCTCAAAAGCGGGCAAAAAAACAAAAAAAAAAACCTACATAAACTAGCTTTCCAAAGAACAGCATTTAGGATAGTGGAGGGAAATCTACCATTATTGGAGCATTTGTGCTGGCGGACAAGGTTCAGACATTACCGTCTTGGACCTGAACTTTTCATTGACTCAGTAAGTGTGAACTGCGATCCGAGGTATCTTGGTCTGGACCTGTGCCTTATGAAAGGATCTTGAAAACATCTGCCAAGTGCTGGAGGAGCTTCACACGGATTCCGAACCCTTGACGTTTACGAGTCAATTCAATCATTTATACTTTATTTTTAAAATGTGCTAAGTAAACAAGATAGTCACAGTCTGTGTCCTAATAGAGTGTTAAATCTAGTGGAGCAAATGTAACACAATTGGTTAGGAGGTACAGTGAAAAAAATTACTGTGATAATGTGCCTTTTTTTAAAGTGATACACAGAGAAACAGAAAGTGAGGAATCACCAAGGGGGATGGCCATGGGGCAGTCGCTTCTCCATTCTCCTCTTGGAATCTTGGGCACAAATGCACACGCGCCTGGCATGAGTTTTAAGTCATCGGATTCAAGACTCCAATGCTTGGAAGTCCAGCAACGTAATATGCCATTTGCTGATCTGAACAATGTACCTTTAACCGAGAAAGTTTAAGAACCTTTACCCTGAGACATGATTGGTGGTCTAAAATTAAGGCCATAATATACAGTTGTGCTGTGTATTCAAAGTCAGCAACTTTGGGCATTGAGCAAGCACACTCTCCTATAGTAGGTTCTGCTCTTGCTCTATACAATACTATTTTATACCTCCTCCCTCCTGATCAGATTCTAGAGTGATCAATCCCTCCTCTCTTGCCTGAGATTTTCTGGTTTTATCACTGAAAGCCCTGAGTCACAGGAGCCCTCTCCAATCAGTGTAAACCAGAATAGTTGGTGGCCCAGCCCTGTTCCTTTCTTCCTTTACTGTCCCTTCTCCTAACATGACACATGGCCTTGCCTCCTATGATGGTCCTTCAAAAAGTGTGTGGAAAAGGGGAATTAAAGTATGCATTATTCTGATGCAGAAAAAATTGAAATTCATGCATTTAAATAGGCATTTACCATGAAGTTTCTGAAGGCCTCCCCTTATGATATCAATTCTCATGATAAATACGCATCTGGATAAAATGTCAGTGAAATGGCAGAGTAAGGATGCTGGGCCTGTGGTATAGTGGTTAAACCAGTGTGCATTGGGAGCAGGATCCCACATTGCAACTTGAATTTCAGCCCTGTTGACTTAAAAAACACAGCAAACAAGTGTTCATGTGTGCCTCAATCCTGAAGGGATGGAGAAACAGAGGAAAAGGGACTGTGGTGTGACCACACCATATTGGAGGGCTCTCTCTCTTGCTCTCCCCCCGCCTCTTTCCCTCTCTCTCCCTCTCTGGTATATGCACGTGCCCTCTGGCAGTAGAAAAATATAAAAGAAAGAAAAGGCAAAGTAAGTTCACTAGTTCAGTGGTTATATAATTAAGAGTGAAACAAGGATTCCTATTTTGACAGGTTTTCATAATTGTTAAAGCTTTCTCATGTGTTTTTGGGTTTCTTGGAATGAATAAACTTTGACATCCAGTTTGTCTAGCTCCCCGGCAAGGATCTGGGGTGGGATGTGGAGTGGGGTGTGGGGTGGAGGAACGCCATACCTTAGCCTTTATTGCATTTTATTGTAATAAGAGTACAGTGTAGAAACTCAGCATTGACAAGATCTTACAGTCAAGACCTGCAGTGTTAATGCTGTGTGAACCTAGTGTATTGCGGAACTGGACTAAGGAGAAATGAGTCAGATTAAGTTACACAATAGCTCCATTTAACAAGATGTTTACTTCTTTTTCAGATAAGGGGATTCTCTTCACTGATGTAGAAAATGAGGAAGACATTGAAAGAATTGTGTTATTTTTAGCCATAAGAAAATCAAATTCAATAGCTTATACATTTCTGATTTTGTTTGTCATTGTTATTGTTTACTTTTGCCTATTTGTTCATATCCTGACTGCTATTACTTTAATTATTTAAACTTTTTCTTATTTCTTTTTTAAAAAGGTAGTGTTCAAAGTTTTGGCTGTTGTGGGACCAGCAGTTGGCGTAATGGCTATGTCACTAGACACCCATGTAGTAAACCAGGGTTTGAGTCCCAGTCCTGGTGGCTTAAACCCAGCTGGGTGCATGTGCATGCATGCCCAAGATCCCAAGAGGAGAAAGGAGGAGAAGGGATTGCGGCATGACCTGGGGGGTGATTTCTCACTTTCTATCTCTCTGTCTTTCTGGCAAGTGCACGCGCCCTATAGCAAAATCCTCTAAAAAAATTTTTAAGCTGTTGTTACAATTTTTCTCCCTCCAAAATAAAAATCATTATTCATAAAAGAATATTGAGAAATTATGTAGTCATCTTACAAGGATTTAAATGTTTCTGAAACATAGGCAGATGTTATTTCCCTACGCAATGCAGAGCTGCCAGTTTATAATTATGTCATGAGGATACGGATGGTAATTTAAGTTATGAAATGTTTTCAAAATAATTCTCCAATAATCCAGCAAATGGCCAGTGAGGATTTCAGTCACCACAACAACTTTGCTGTGCTTCTAAATAAGATGATTAAGAACATAGTTTTATATTTACTGTTTAAATTGGTAAATCGGACTTCATTAAATTAAAGAAAAATGATTGTTTAATGAAAAATACCCCTGTAAGAGGGTGAAAGACAAGCTAAAAACTAAGAGATAATATTTGCAAACCATACATCTCACAAAGGTCTGCTACCTATAGTATATAAAGAATACTCAAAACTCAATAATTAAAAAAAAATTAAAAAACACATAAAAGAGACCAGAAGATGGTGTAATGGTTATGTTGCTGGACTCCCACAGAATCAATTGTTCTAGTCCCAGACCTGGCGGCTTAAATCTCACACTGGGCACGTGTTTGTGCATGCCCAAGATCCTGAGGGGAGAATGGAGAAGGGATTGTGGCATGGACATCCCCTCTGGGAGGAGATTTCTAACTTTCTGTCTCTCTGGTGAACACATGCATCATATAGAAAAAAATCTTTCTAAAAAAGAAAAGATGGTCACTGGACACTCACATAGTCAACCTTGGTTCAAGTGCTGGATCCAAGTGACGTAAAACTCATGCCAGGTGTATGAGCGTGCATGCCCCAAATCCTGAGAGATGACTAGAGTAGATGGGATTGTGGCATGGCCATCCCCCTGGGAGGTGATTTCTCGCTTTCTTTCTCTCTATCTCTCTGGAGAGCGCATGTACCCTATAGTAAAAGATCTCTCAAAAAAGAAAAAAAATGGGTAAAAGTTGCAATCAGACACTAAGCCAAAGATGATATAAAAATGGCAAATAAGCATCACTAGCCATTAGGAAAAAGCAAATTAAAACCACAAGGAGGGGCTAGTCCAAGGTGTGGTGGTTAATGCAGCTGGATCCTACATGGCCAACAGCACGGTTCAACTACCCAACCTAGTGACTTGAGAAACCCACCAAGTGTGTATGTGCATACTTTCCCAAAGTCAAAAGGAGGTAGGAACAAATTAAAATAAAATAAATAAAGTTAAATAATTTTTATTTTAAAAAAAAGAGGGAGGAGAAAGAGTTGTAGTGGACCATTCACCGTAGACATGCTGTCTCTTTTTTCCTCTCTTTCTGTCTCTCACCAGGGGGTACACAGGCAAATAAGTACAAAAAGAAAATACTACTGGGTGAGTGTAGCTATGAAGTGGTAGCAAGGGAAATTTTTGTAGTGATGAGATATGTCTGTATCTTGATTGTGGTAGCAGATACAGCAATCTCCATATGTAATAATATTGCATAGAACAACACACTCATACATAAACACATACATGAGTACATGTAAAAACTCAGTGAAATCTAAAGAGCCTCTGTACTAGTTTTCAACTTTCTGCAAATCTTCTATTATTTAAATATAAAAAGGTGTCAGACATTGTTATGGTGGTAAAATGTAATGCTCTGTGAGGCTGACCACATGGGAAGCTTCTAGGATGCCATCCAGACACCTTCCTGAGTAACCTGGGACATGCGTGTGCCTATAATCTGAGGCTGGCTGAAGCTGGAGGTGGGTCATAAAGCCATGATGCTAGGCAGTTAGGGAAAATAGAGGAGTTAAGGTGGAGTACTGAATGAGATTCAGGGAGATCCAAAACCAGGCAGTCTACCCAAAACCAGTCAGCCCACTATAACCTGATGGAAAAATAACTTTCCTTCCTGTTCTCTGTCCCTCTGGCCCATATCGATACTGTACTTTTGAGATATACAAACAAAATAGGAGGCAAGGACTCA